AATTATAGTAGTTATATAAAAAACTTACTATTTAAATTCTATATTATTCAAAAATACAACCAACTGAACTGAAATGATATATATGCACTAAATACGCCGGGTTAGGTATTAACCTGTACCGAAATTTATTGCTAGTAAAATAAAATGGTCTAACTAATCAGAACATTAAGTAACAATCAGAGCCAATTTTGATGTTAATACGGGCGTTTTATAGTCCACATTCAACTTTAATATGTGTATGTGAATTCCCAAACCATCTATAATGCTATTAAGTTAATATTGTTCAAATACACTTAAGTATATAATAAAATAGATTAATTTTTACTATCAAACAGTTTGTCCCTGAACAATATTTCGAAGCCTTTTATTTTTCAATAAGAGAACAACTTCCGCGCCAAAATTATACGGTTTTATAGGGTACAGACGCATAATTCATTTTCTTTCTTGTCTCCTTACCTCAATTATGTTAGGAACAGCCATCAAAAGACCCTAAGACTATTGCCCAGCATATCCGAAATCCATCCGATAACTCGCCAAATGACGCGTGAAATTATAGACCAAAAAATTTCTGGTTAAAAAGTATCGTAAATTTCACGTCATGGATCGGAACGCTCCAGGACAATTACGGATATCGACTAGATAATAAAATCCTGAACCCGAACTTGTTACTGGAAGGGAAAAGAATATTTTTGTTTTTTTTTCTTTTCTTTCGAATCCAGATGCGTGAAAAAAACCATTACCTGGGTGAAACAATCGAGCCGATATAGCCATTTAATGGAAGCCACTTTGGCAAAGTTGGCGTGAAAAATGAAATTAAGAAAGAAAGATAAAAGAGGAAAAAAAAAAAGGAAGTGGAATCTAAAAGAAGAAAATAGTTTGTATTAGGCGCCATCAAGAATTGCTGGCCTCTAGCCAAAGGGGAATTGACATTATATGCATGTCTGTTCTGGATTGTTGGTTTTAAACTGAAAATTATTGGAGTCCTGTTGCTCATTTTTTTTTTATTCTTTTGGACTTCACAGTCTTCTAGAATGTCTGGTTTTGATATCTGATGTCGAATATAGAGTTTTAAATACTCAAGGTAATGTTTTCCGAATGATTTTTGAATTTATTCCAAGGAGTATGGATGTCCACTGTAAAGTCAAATAATAAAATATTTTCATGATATAATTATAATAAATGTTGTATGATTAGAATTTACCTACTTTTATTACCGTATATTTTAGTGTATAAAGCCGGTAACTTTTGGAATTTTTTTGAAATGAAAGTATTGGGCCGGGCTCGTATACGGATACACTAATCTAGAAAAAAAAAAGATAATTTAAGGAAAATGTTGATTTTTTTTATAAATATTTTCTTTAAGCGATTTTATTTTTGTAAACTTTTTGGGTGTTTCGAAGGAAACTGTCGCAACTCGTAGGTTGCAGGTGTAGTTTGAGTCATCGAAGAAACATACATTGTTATAAAAATAATGCTTTTATTTCAGACTAATCAATTTATGATTAAATAAAGTTTAATAACTGTGGGAGTAATTCTTATTATTTTCTAATCTAACTTATAAGATAATCAAATGTAGCAGCTTGGATCAGCTTGTAGATCTCATGTCGGCTCTTTCCTAAACCTCTATAGTCTCCTCTTCAATTCAGCTTCTCTATTATTTCCACTACTCTGAACGGCAGATAACTTAAAGACCAACAACTCACTAGTAGAGATTAATGAACAACGACTCATGATTGACGATTAGAAGTCCACGATTAATTTTAACCCGTACCTTGCCAAGGTTTAAATAGCATTTACATTAGCATGAAATCAAGTCATCTCTACGGAAGACAGTTTTAAACTCAAGCCACAGTTAAAGAATAACTAGAGGCAACCATTGTAGAAGTAACTCACAGCAAAAATCGAAATTTTTGTTCAGTTTTTAGATCGGAGCTTATTGCTATCAGAAAAGGTTTGCAGTTCACAAGTGAAACCGAGCTTCAGTTTTAAGACGTTTGGATTCTGACTGACAGTCGTGATTCAATACAACATCTATCCAATTGGATATCTGTAGGGGATCAGGCTAACTTTGATATCCTTCATCTTCTTGGTCGGATTTCTTCTAATCATCGTGTACGTTTTCAGTGGGTCCCATTCCACGTGGGGATTGATGGTAATGAGAAAGCTGATTTCTTAGCCAGGAATGCAACTGAGGAAGGGGGGTGAACCCTACTGGATCTCTTACGTTCAGTGAATTATCCCCCCTTAAGTAGATTGAACTCAATGAACTTGGAAGAACTCCTTCTCTAATCATCCTTGGTACTTCGGAAGAAATCAAGGATATTCATTCAGACTTCTACCTAGTGATGGGAGGCTGGAAAGGGTCCTTTACTTTCTAGCAATTTATATACGAGTCCCCTCTTGACCGGATGTGGTGAAATTCTTTCGGTGGGGAGTGTCAAGGGATTCCAGCTCTTTTCTGAGTTCAGTGAACGCATAAATTTGATGATTTTTAGCATTGCGCGATGGGTATTGTCCAATTAGATACGCAATTAAAAGGACAGTAACTAGTCCGGCTCCAGGATTTCGGCGTGATGGGGTTGAGAATAAAATGGAGCGCACTCGAAGTTCGAGAGGCTCTTTCTCCCCAAAAATTCCAGCACTCCGACGCAACCAAGCTTAGTGGTACTCGCCACCCCAACCGGGATTGCCCAAGGCGACCATGTACCCCTCCTTTCAAAGCTAAGTTTTCTTTCATTACTTTTTTTTGTAAACCTAATTTTTACTTATGTGTTTGAATAAATTTAATTATATCTTAAACGAAATGAGTATTTAATCGGGATTGTAGTTATTAACAATTAATTAATTGAGGTAATTTTATTTATTAACATTGGCCATGATGCGATCTACGATTACCGAACCTGGGATACTTAAACTAATAGTTTATTACTATGGCCTCGCATCAATGGGAAATACCAGAGTGTCTTCTCGCGCTTTATGGACGGCTATATAAAAACTATGACTTTTCGTCAGGGTCAGAAGACATTTCCGGAGTACCACTGGTGTTATTCCGAGCTGGTATATCTTGCCCACATGATGACTTGTTTGAATTTTAAAAAGGATGAATCTCTTCTTCTGTTTTTAGAATTTCTAGAATTTTTTTTTCATTCTTGGAGATTGTCTAGCATTACTGGAAAATCTGGGATTATAAATAACAATAACAAAGAATAATTTCCCCAAGAAAATAGTTGAAGGGCTGTGGATAGAGTTCGCTACAAAACTATTATTCTAAAAGACGAAAAAAACTCACACAAACCCTTCAAAATCAGTGTCAGAAACTAAGCTTCCGAATTATTCATAAAATTTGCATGTGCTTATCTCGATGTCTCAGTGCATATGAACATTAGGCAGCAAGTTTTCCTCCAAAGCATGAAACACAGGTAGACCATCACATAACGTATACGAATTCCTCTTCTCGTTCATTTTCCTAGGTAAGACCGGCACGGGTGTTGTAAAAAAATTTGTTAGAGCGCGCGCGCTTCAAATAGGATCACCAGAAATAAAACTATCGTCATAGGCGTTTTGTTTTCCAGCAATTTGGAAAATATTTCACACATTTTACCCTCGTGGGAACATTTTTGCCTTCGTGAAGATGTGTTTGAAAGTTTCGGAGACTTTTTCAATTCGGCTTATGTACGGGTTTCGAATTTTTGATTATTTTTTTGAAGAATACCCACATTTTTATATCGACTTATATTTGGAAATATACGGTATTTTTAAAAAAAAAATAGGAAAAAAATGTATATATTATACCCGAACATTGTACACTGTCTATGCTAGACAAACTTTCTGCATCATTTTTATGTAGGGAAAATGAATGGGAAGAGAAATAATTTGTTTCTGGAACGTGATCATCGATCTAAATTCACTCTATGATGATCATATGCTTTCAGATATCTTAATGCATGGATGTGAATTTTAAGAACTATTCGAAAGAAATCGGATTTAGACATTGATTTTGAAGGATTTAGGTGAACTTTTATACCCCCTTTTACTGTGCATAAGTATCATTCAAAACATCCAGATAGTTGAAAGATTAAAACCGCTAGAGCGCATGCTGAAAACATACTTTTTCTTCAATTCTCCGAGTTTTCCCTGAGATTAGCGGATCCATACATAAACCGACCCTCTTGCTTTTTAACTTTAAAAAAGTTCGAAAAGTCTCGGCTTATATATATATATATATATATATATATATATATATATATATATATATATATATATATATATATATATATATAGGGAAATGTAAGGGCTATTCCTTTATTTTATTTCTTTTCTTTTTCATATCTATTTTCGTTGCGTCATAAAAAAATTCTTTATTTAGAATTATAACTTTATTCAAATCTTCAGTCTTTCGGGAAATGCTCTTTCCTTTACAGAATACCAAAATAAGGTTTTTTGAAAAGTCACATTATAACTAAATGCATTTAGATGAAGATGTTTATATTTATACTGAATATATGTATATTGCGTTCTAGAAAAGTAGCAACTTACTTATTTGAATTCAAGCTGAACTGATTACAATTCAAAATTAAAAATGTATTCGCTGGAAAAATAAACACAAATATAATAAAACGTGAAACACATTAAGTACCTCTCTCTCAATGTCATATTTCTGAAGAAAATTTATATTTCTTATAGCCTTTTTTCAATTCCTACTATTAGTTCACTCTCTCTCTCTCTCTCTCTCTCTCTCTCTCTCTCTCTCTCTCTATATATATATATATATATATATATATATATATCTTGTTCAAATTTTCAATCGTTAATAAAATAATTTTTATTCATCCATTCAAGTTCAAATACATTTTTTAAGACTTTTACTGAATGACACTTGACGTTAATACAGTTTTTTCAAATATTAGTTCATTTATTAAATTAAAAAATGAATAAATTGTAGCAAACAAAAATAATAGTCATATATAGAAAGCATATATAGAAAGGAAAATCGTTCGTTTGTCCCTGTAGCGCGCGCGCGCGCGCATTGGACTTCTAATTCAAAGGTCGTAGGTACGAATCCCACCTGGGATGGCCTAATTTCAGAGAATGTGATTTCCTTTTTACTATATTATTTTATTAGAATAATTAAATTAAATTAATGAATAAATAGTAACAAAAAAAAGAAATAGTCCTACACCTACATAGAAACGAAAATGAAAAATTGCTAGAAAATCACTTCCTATTTTGTCACTTAATATTGTGATTCTGTCTTATGTATATACATATTTATATTAATTGAAATTATTTAATAAAAAGTAACTATAAAATAAACTTTTTCATGGCTGACCTAAGTGGGAATTGACTTAATTTTTTTATATTACTTGCTTAATACAAGAATCATACAGAAATTTAAGGATTGTAACTTAGTCTATAATCAAACTCAGTTAAATTAATGAAGACATAGTTTACAGTTTTAGTTTTGTGTTGAAACTTTATCCTTCACAAGGAAAACATCATTTGTTTCTAAACTTTTTTTTAAATAGGCTGCATCTTGTCAGCCAAGCCGTTGCAGACACGACAAGTCCTGAAGTGTGAGAGCCATTTCTCATTGGTGGCACTCTCTAGTGGCGGCTTCCACAACCAAATTTTTGACGCTTTTGTCGTATGCTAAATATTGCAATTATTTAATTTGATCGAGAGTACCATAGCCAAAGTGATACTCAAGGGATCTCTTATATGTAACTTAATCATATAACATGCATGCCTACTATTTTCGCATCCACAGAAAACCTTTCGATATATATAACAGGGTCGAACTCGCAAACCTTCGGCTTACGATGCGGACACATTACCTCTAGGCCACCGAATCGGCAATGTTTTTTAACAACCACGAAGAGGATTGCAAACTGTGATTAATATCTACAAAAGATATATTCTTATTTTCCTATTGAGTGAGTGAGTGAATATTAACGTCGCACTGTTCAGTTACTCGAGTTCTTTTGGCCACGGAACTCGTAATTGTGAACCATGGTCAAGTGACGAGGATGACACCTGAGCTGTCACTCCTCTCTCCTAACTGCCACACCACACCAACAGAACTTTTGAGCTCTCGACAGGTTTAACATACATCGCTCCCCTACAGGGTGGGTCTTTAGTGGTACTGGGGTCGAACTCACGACATGCCTACCATGATCCGATACCTTAACCACTGGGCTACCGCAGCCCCATATTTTCCTATCGTAGGAGCAGAATGATGCATGCAATGAGAGATATAATGATTACACGGAATGCTAATCTTGACGCCATCTTTGGAAAACACGTGAAACAAAGAGAAAAGCATATGGGAAATCCATTCTGGCCCATATTGCACATACACACCAACCCACACCCACTCACAGGGAGTAGGAGGGAAAGTTTTTTAAAAAAAGAAAGTTAAAAAAGTTTTTAAACAAAGTTTTTTTTAGAATTCTATTTTTCCAAGTCTCGTTCTAATAATACACATCGTTTGTATTTAGATAACAAAACAGGAACCAAGAAAAACCAGGGAATAAAAATCGAAACGAACACAATAAAAATAACAGAACGGTCCCCAATAGTCTCTGATGAAGAGAGCACAGACGAGAATATCCAATACAAAGAAGAGGGGAAAAAAGAGATATAACCCCAGTTAACTCAAATTGAAAAAAAAACAAGCAGAAGATTAGAGGGAGATAAAAATCGTTAAACAGAATGAAACTGTTTACGAAAGACACTTTCAGAACGAGCTTCGCTGAAAGAACTCTCATCATCCAATCAAATTTCGGTCTGTACATACTCCGTCCTAATAGAAGGGTTGAATTAGTAAAAGATGCACGTAATACATGCTTTTGTAGTCTCTAAATAAATTGGATGAGCTTTCTGGAATAATTAAAGAAAGGTGGCGCAGTATGTATTAATAACAAACGATAATAAAATACGGCTTTTCATATGTGACGTCTTACGCGTCTTTTCTTTAACAAGTCCTTTGGGTTCTTTGGGCCAGAATTAATGGCAACTCTTTTCCAACCAAATCCAAGAAATGCGATGTGAAATAAAGATGCAAATAAACGGACTTTAAATATCGGATCTTAGAGTAAGCGCAATGGCAATGTAAAGGAATGTTAGACAATTGAAGTTGGTTGTGGCAAATGATTATCACAATTCGTGTTTCAAGTTTGAATAAGTTTTGTATATTGATGCTCGATTAGAAGAAAGCCGTACAGCTGCATCCCATTGCAGATAAAGACAAGAACTACTACGAGATATAATAAGGTAGGATTGATTACTTAATATTAGAATCGAGGATTAGGCGGTTCGCTTATTGAGATTGGTCTGAATTGGATTAGGTCTTATTATATATATATATATATATATATATATTGTTTGTTGCGTATTGCGTCATTGTAGATTATCTCATATTAATTATTATAATTGAATTTGTTAAAGGTTTAAGTTGAATATCTTAATAAAGTACTATTAAGATAATATTTTATCCTAGTTCTTTCGCTAATCCTACACCTTTAGCTCACGCTGATACTTCGACAGTCATGTCGCGATTTGTCATATGACCATCAAGAAAACTCTACATTCTAAAGATGTGCACCCCTATCACTCCGATATGCACCCCTATTGTCCATTTAATGTTCTACTTTCCTAATGTTTTACTGTACTAAGGGTAAAAAACATGTGTTCTCTTCTTATTCGTACTCTATCTTTCTTGTGTTTTGTGTCGTCACTACTGTGACAAGAAAGCGTCACCGACCATGCATTCCAGCCCAGTGGTCAAGGTATCGGATCATGGCAACCATGTCATGAGTTCAAGCCCAGTACCACTAAAGACCCGCCGTGTAGGGGAGAGAGACAATATTAACAACTTTACAGAAATATAAGTCGGTAGTTTATTGAATATATTATAGTACACATCATAGGGGCTGCAAAAATACAATACACTTAAGAGAGAAGTCAACATGTAAAATGACTATGAGTTGTAATGGTTTTGCAGCACATCTCTTTGCCTTTTCAAATTATAATTATATCTATATTTACTTTTGCTAGTATTGTATGTGTGGCGATGTGATATCTATATGAACTAGTACCAACATCACGGTAAGACGATCATTTTGGGGTGATCGGTAAAGTACTCGCATTCGCACGGAACGGAAGGTAACCAGAACGAACCTTCCTTCCTTCATATGTTACATATAAGTTCCAGTTTTCGTATTATTTGCTAACTTAGTCTAATAGTATTTCAATGTAATAAATTTTTTACTGGATAAATTAAAAACAATGGAATTATTTATTTTATAAAATTTTCATACATTAACAGACAGCGTTTTAAGAGACTTTTCAGACAATGTGATTAATAATGTTCATCAAAACCTTGTTCACTTTTTTGGCGTCTCCATAATTATCTCTTTTTTTCTTGCAACCTTTTAATTAAATTTGAGGTAGAAGAAAAGTGAAGAATTTTCAGGATCTTTGAGACAAGAAAAAGAGATGACGACATCACTGTCAACAGCAAATTATTTTTTTCCTGTTCAACCTTTGGTTTGTTGCCAGAGAAAATAAACAACCTAGAGCGAAATAATGACAGTTATTAGTAGAGGGTGTGGAAAATACGGCGCGTGTCTTTGTAAAAAAACTTTTTTCTTTGAACAGTGAGAAATACCAGCTGGCAGAAACAATCTTAAGAGGCGTAGAGAATAACAGTTTTTAGGAAAAGGATGACCTGTTTTCTATTTCTATCTGCGCTAAGTGCTTGTTACATAGGCTACAGAGTTTGTTTTGAAAAAAAAAAGATGCCTCTGTATGTGTAGTATGTTACAGAAGAGGTTTAAAGAAGGTCTTAAATTTTAATGCGCGTAGGACTTAATCTATTGCTTTCGAAATTGGTTCGAAAATAAATTGTATAGCACGGCAAATAGAATTGAATTTGCTCATATTTTTGTGCTGTTTTTCTTTTCAAAAAGTTTTCATGATTTGATTCTGTTTTCTAAAAATAATGTTATGCTGTGGTGGAACTTTTGTTTCCTGAACGACCTGAAGAATTGTGGGTGAATTCTACTTCGGCAATAAAGATGGGGGAAGAGATTTTTGTTTTGAGTCTATTTTCTAAAAATAATGATGAACACTGTGGGGAATCTCTTTTGTTTCCCGAATTACAAGAAGAATTTTGGTTAAATTGTAATTTGATAAAAGAAAGGGTTCCCTGATTTGACTCTGTTTTCTAAAATGATGTTCTACAGTGGTAGAAATCTTTTATTTCTCGAAAGACCAGTTGAAATCTGATTGAATTCTAATTTGGCTAAAAAGAGTTTCTGTGATGTTTGTGAAAATTAATGGTGGCGTGAGAGATAGAAAATTAAATAATTGGTTTACTGACGTCACAGCTAAAATTTACAATATATACATTTACATTGAAGTTATTCAAAATATTGATTATTTAATTAGAGTTCACACACACTGAAAGTGATATTTGTGAGCGAGGAGGCCACAAGACTGTTCTCTACAATGTTTTTCAACGGACTTCTCTTTCTGCCCTCTCCGAGGTTGAATGGGAGCGGCGTCTTTCTGACACCTCGGAACTTGTGACGAATCTGTACGGAACCTTTCCACTAATCTTCTTAGGCGTCTTTCTGGGGAATATAAATTCGCGTTTATATTTCCAATCAACTCCAAAAAGAAGTTTGGGATATTTAAATTAGATAAGGTATTTAAATCGAGGGTTGCGAGATAGCAAGAGAGATGATGGTAGGCTATTGAGCCAACGACATTAAAAGCAAAACTAGAAGATTCAAAGAGATTAGATTCGTGAAGACGTCGTGCTGCTAGACGTACCAGAAAGCTGATATAAGCCAGCGGTAAATATAATTCACGTACGCTTAAAGTAAGTGTCAGGTTGAGATACTTAGTTAAAGTTAATGACAATTAAGAATTCGCGAATACGTGTGTTTCTCGGATCTCCTAGTTTCGGTAAACCTTACTTGAGTTGAGCTAGATTAGTATAATCAATCGTATTCTTATTAATTTAATTTAATATAAAGGCAAATCCCTTTAGATGACGTAACATAATT